TGGCACTCGCATGTACATCAAAAGGAACATTTGTAGACAATTGCACAGGTGTTATTGAGGGAACACTTGAAGCTAGAGGGGCAAAAGGAAGTGTTGAACTTTGAGTTGTATTGTTATTACCAATAACAGGAAACAAAGGTTGTGAAACTGGGATAGAAGTTGTAGATGTAGACAATCCAGGTGGGGCAACCTGAGTTTGGGGTGCAGGAGGAGCAGTTGCTGGCAATGGTGGTCTCACATTCTGCACAGGAAATAATGGCTGCTGTGGGTATGGGGCAAGAGGAGGAACAGAAATGGATGGAGGTTGTGGATACCATGACTGAGGTCGAGGCGGAACCGCCCAACCATTCGGAGGCACAGGTAAAGCTGGATTGTAACTGCAGCACAAAGGAAAAACATGAGCACATGTTGTGGCATCACATATAAAATGTAAGGAAAAAAACAAAAAAATGCCATTTCCATAACAGGGCAAATAGAAAATAGATAAAAATAGGAGAATTAAAAATAAAAAAAATTAAACAAACATACATTCGTGGCACTGTGCCAAAAGGTGGCCGAGGAGGATAACCTGAACCTAGAGGAGGAGGCACCATTCCACCTATAAACGGGGTTGATGGGATATCAATCTTGGCTGCCTTTGATGGAACCTCGTCATCTGCATTAAATACAAGATTGTTAGAAAGACTCAACCTTTTCATGTCTTGATCAACCATTTCAAGGTCACTAGTTCACTACCAATTTTTGTACCGAGCTTTTAGCTCAAGTCCTACAAGAATGGCCAATATAATAGAAGAATGCTGAAAACGGCAGCCACCTCACAGACCACAGTTCAGATGTGATTAAACAGAAGAAAACATAGGTTATTTTTAGTTTTTATAAAAAGGTGAATTCTCTAAGATAGGAACATAACAAAACACGGTGATTTAGGATTTATGCATTTAATAAGTATAAAGTATCAAGTATTAACTGTCATTAAAAAAATAATTTTTCATGCTAAAAAAAGAAGCCATTAGACAAAATATTACCTTCCTCTCCATAATGAGCACCCAAGAGATGTGATTAAACAGAAGAAAAAATAGATTATTTTTATTTTTGATAAAAGGTGAATTCACGAAGATGGAAAAATAACAAAGTATGACGATTTAGGACTTATGCACTTCACAAGTTGTATCAAGTATGAATTGTCAATAAATAAATTTTTATGCTCAAAACAGAAGCCTATTACCTTCCTCTCCATAATGAGCAGCCAAGACATCTGGCGGGATCCCTTGCATTCCATATATTTCAATATCGGTGGATTCCCTCTCAGGTTTTGCATTGGGCACTCTAGCAAAAAATATTATAAACAAAATATCAACAATAACAGATAGAATGCCAATAACTTATGGAAACATCACAATATTTTTTAGAAATATTAGGATACCAAGGAGCACATCCCCCAAACTTTCATACAAAAATTAGTTAATATGTGCACTAAGAGAAAAATATGTATTGAAAATAACCAGCAATCAAAAATTCACTAAACTTGTAACATATTAGAATCGTTAATATAAAAAACAATAACATGAGGGAAAATCCTAGACAATGTGAATAAAACATCAATTTGGTCACGAAAACCAATTTAGTTCTGTGTTACAAAGATAAACAAATAGTTCCTGATTTTGACCAACCATCATTCAATTTAGTTAGTGACTTTAGTGTGAATCAATTAGATCTGTATGGCAAAACCTCTACTGAAGCAATTGTTTAACCATTTAAAAATTTCAAAACAACACATTGTCACTTTTCAAGTTTGCAAGGAACAAGTTGACTGATAGGACCAAATTTCAGGACACGGTTGTCAAAGTTAAAGAGCATTTTTTTGGTTTTGCATAACGTCAACAACCAAGTCTTAATCTCATTGCATGGATCAAATGTCGTAGTGATCTATCATTACATTTTTTTTGCATAACATCAGGGACCAAAAAACAAAATTGATGATTTACTGTCTATACAGAATCATCAACTTTTTTCTTTCCAAAACGATTTGGAAACTGCTACAGTAACCTCCAAATTGAATATGATAACCTTAAATTGCAGCATGATAAACCAAATTAAGATATGATAACATGAGGACAACTTCCAGAAACAATCATCAACAGTTTTTGTTGTTGCTAAAATGAATGATAATAAGCTACGCACTAACTACCAAAAACAATAACCACCGACAACAATAGTCACCGAATTGAATATAAGTAATCCACCCAATAATCAATAACAACAAAGAAAAACACGAAATAAAATTAAGGGGATAATTAGGGTTTGATTATTATACTTGGTAACAGATTCCTTGTGAACCTGGAGGACATGGATGGTCATGCCGCCAGCGGTGGAGAGCTTCTTGTGGCAGACATGGCACTTGAAGTGCTTCGCTTTCTGATGCTGAACCAATATCTTCTCATCGTCGAATTCGCGGTCGCAGTAATAACACCACACCTTCGAAGAAACACGCTTCTTCTTCTTCCCCATATCAATTCAGATCGATTGCGAATTGGGTTTCTAACAAAGTTTGGAGATTGATGGTTTCTCCTATACTTTGCACCCGGATATGACCATGAGAAGGAGAAGGAGCTAGGGCTCAATTGGGTTCTTATTTTGCCAAGTTGAAATTAAAAAAGATCCAAATGCAGTGAATAAATAAAGAAATAGTAAATGACATCCTTAAGATACTTCCATTTACAATTATTTTAGCGATATTAAATAAACTACTTCAAACATAAACTTCGTGGGAAAGATAAGTAATTTTTTAAACAAAATTTTTTAATTAAGTGAAAAAATATTGTATATTTTGAAGACAAATTCAAATAAATATAAGAGTCAATATCTATTCATTATTTTAAAAAATAATTTAAACATCTCCTTATAATATTAATATAGTTTGTAACAAACCAAAATAATGAATAGAAATTGACTCTTATACTATTTGAATTTATTTTCAAAATATATCATATTTTGTTTTAATTAATCACATTTATCACCGTTTTTTGTTTAATAAATTGCTAAAACTAAAAAGATGTCATTTGTAATTTACTCTTTAATTTTATTATATCATTGAAATTTGTCTAGCTTTAAATTCGCATAAAAATATATGAGGTGTGGTTGAGTAAAAAAATAATTACACCAAAAAGAAATTTTAAGTAAGTTTTTTGATATTCAACTTTGATATAATTCAACATTTTATTTTAAACTTAACTTGTTATTTAACTCAATAAATCTTGTTAATAAAACAAATAAGTTGAACTTGAGCTAAAAAATAAGTTTGATAAGTAAACAAGTCGAAATTGAATTAAGTAAGATTTGAAGCATTAAATTTATAAGTTGACTGGATTAATATATATATATAATCAACATTCAAGGTGACAAACTTAACAAATCGAGCTAATGAATTAAATTAAATGAGCTTAATTTGACAAGTCGAATAGAATACCCACAATTTCAAATCGAGTCGAGTTGAAAAAAAATAATTCATACTTAATAAATCGAATTTCGAGTTAAACCAATTCTTATCGAGACGAGCTCATGTCTAACTCGTCTCGACTCATTTTTGGCCCTAATCATCAATCTCCAGCTTTGTAGTTAAGTTGCAACTAAGTTTAACAATAATGAATGTTCAACAAGTCCAATGCACTTCTTAACGTAACTAATTTGGTTAATATATGAAATGCATTTTTTAGTGTGAATCTTCTACAACATTCTTCCTATAAGCTATCAATTTTATGATCTTTTGAAACCTAACTTTAATGTGTTTGGTCATAACATTATACACCTAATTCTTTAACAAGATATCAATATTAGACTCATAACCTAATATGACTCAATATTACTCAAGATCTAATTTATATGATACTTAATAAAATATTAAGTCAATATCATCATTAATAAATTATTTATTTAATTTGCAATAACATAAATAATTTATTGATTATGAACTAACTGTCTCTCTCAACAAATGTTGCTTTCACGAATTGAATTATTGACCTTGTAATCATCTTAGGGATCTAGCAGAACCTTATGTCACTAGACCAACAAAGGTTGGTAAGTGGGAACCCTTTTATACACATGAATCATCTTAATTTCAACTCCAACACAATTTCTTATTTCCAACCATTTTATTCATTCTTTGCACCACAAACCATGGACCTTCGAAGGTTTGTGTTCTTTTACCATTAGTATCATATAAGTACCATTATAGCACATATATAGTCACCCAATAGCCTACTACTCCGTACATATGAAGAAAAAGGATTCATTGTAAGGGAAAACGATAATGGCTCCTGCAAATTTTGGTGGTGAGAGGATCAATATAAATCTGTTGTTGTGCATATTTTATTGAAGGACATTGACCATTTTACATCAACATAAAGGTCAATGGATTTATAAAGAAGTTAACTTGTTCTAACCTCAAAGTTATCGCTGGTACTCTAATAAAGTTAGTTCACATGTTATGTTAACCAGGATTTTAAAAAAGTAAGTTTTTAGATCAGATACATTTTTTCTGTATGTAAAAAAATGACAAAAACACTATACTATTATCTATTTTCTCTGTTTTCTATGTCACTGGGAAGGGAATGAACACAGACAATGAATGAGTGAGTAGACGATTAGGCACTGAGATAGAACACATCTCTGTCCTGTCCCTCCCTTCGATACTTTATTTAACATGGTGTCAAGACTCAAGACTTTCTCATAAAACACCTTCATTTTGTTCAGAATTTGATTTGTCTTGTGTGATAATTTACTATAGGTAAGATGATATAAATGCTATTTTTTAATGTATATTTTGTCAAAGGATTGGTCTTGTTTCACTATTTCTTATTTTGTGCACCACGGAGGATCTTAAGGCAGTTGTAGCATAGAGAGAACCATGTGTAGTAAGTAGCATAGAAGTCCCACATTGGCCAGGTTATATGATGTAGTATGATGGTGTGTGTATAAATAGGAAGCATATGCAATGGGATTACATACTTACCTGGATGGGGTCAATGGGTGGTCAAGGTGGCCCATGTTCTAGGGTTGTGACCTCCATTGCACTTATGAGGGGTGCTTCTCTAAGGTCTATCCAAGTGGTGGAGCCTACATCATAATTTGTGCCAGTCGGGGCCAGCGTTCGCGCGGCCCCTTCCAATTTTAGTTCAATCTTTTAATTTTAATTATTTTATTTGGAAATGTTGATTCTTGTGTTGTTTTCATTAATTTTTGAACAGTGTTCCGGCTAAACTTTTTGCTTACTTCTTTTATTGGATTGAATTTGTTCAATATACTGAAAAAATCTACTTTTCTTTATTAAAATTCCAACGTCGTTTAGTAGTTTGAAGACATTTTATTTACTTATAATTTGTTGGGGTTAAAATTCACTTTAATATTTACCCGTGCAATTTATAAGGACTTTTATTTATTTTTACGGTTGAGATCTATTATAAATTTTGCTGGGGATATAACATCTCTGTATTGTGTATAATATACAGTTAAATGCCTTGTTTAACCACAATGAAATGTCAATCCATGGTAGAAGTGTGGTGAGCAAAACTAAACTTTAAATGAAAATGTTAAAGGCTACAAGTTTGATCTATCATGACACTTTAGAACATGAAGTAACAAGACAACAAATTTGCTCTGGTTTTAATAGCTTGTCTCAAATCGTACCCATTAGTTATACTATTTCTTGGCATGGTGTATTTTCCATACAATATTTATGAGGAAATAAAAAATTTCCATCGATTTCCTCCAATTTTGAAATAATGTATCTTACGCTATGATTACACAGAACCAGAATTGAATATCAGCCTTAAAATGTAACGAACCTGGAGTCTCACAAAGGAGAATCATACCCTATTATATATTTTAATGTACAGTATTTTCCTTATTCCATTTGTACATATGGTTAATCCAAATTGATCAACCCAAGCATTATAAACGTGGGTCTCACTATTTCTCCAAATTTGCCACACCTCAGATTTCCTTACTCTTCAATGGCAATTGATCTTCCCATATCACTTCATTGTAAATTGCTCTGAAGTTTTTTATATAATCTTTATTTTGAGCTCTATTTTCCACTCACCACTTGACAAGCATCCCATGAGGACAGAAAATAAACTCAGGATGGTGGGAGGAACAGGTTGATTGCATTTTCTCTAAGTGTTGCAGTTTTAACTCATACTAACGAATATGCATAATTTGAGTTTTCTATTTATTAATGTTAATCTTCTTATTCTATCTTGTATTTGTAACTGTTAGATATGGCTCTCTTATAATGCATTACTTCACAAGCTTTCTTAACTAGTTTTTTTAGCTTGCCCTCCAAGCTAGCTTGGTCTCCAAGTCATTCAAGCTTGGTCTCCAAGACATTCAAGCTTGGCCTGCAAGCTTCCATTTCTCTATTGATTCTTTTGCCTATAAAAGGGGCATGAAGCACTTGCATTACATCATCACAAATTATTTCATCATCACAACGTTAATCTTTGTATCCCAGCAACATAAAATAGAGTAACGTTTGTTTTATTGAGTGAGTGTTTTGTGGTGAGAATTCTTGTTCCATTTGAGAGAGTATTTGTGAGAGAAAATATTACTCTTTGTCTTCATCATTGTAAGAAGATTTGTTGTACTCTCCTTTTTTACATAGTGGAATTTTGCTCGTGAGCGCCCGTGGTTTTTTTACCTCTCACACTGAGGGGGTTTTTTCCACGTTAAATATTGTGTGTTATTTTCTTGCTTATTTTATTCCTTCTCTTTTGTTCTCAATTGATCCGATCTTGTGCTTCCGCATTGCGCTCTATCTCTAACAAGTGGTATCAGAGCTCTTACTCAATTGAGAATTTCAAAATGTCTAAATTTGACATTGAGAAGTTTGATGGCAAGATTAGCTTTTCTATTTGGCGAGTCCAAATGAGGGCCGTTCTTATCCAGAGCGGATTAAAGAAAGCTTTAGATGGGAAGTCAAAGAAACCAGCTTCCATGACTGATGACCAGTGGGACGAGTTGGACGAAAAGGCGCTTTCAACAATCCAACTTTGTTTGTCCAAGGAGGTTCTTCGTGAAGTTGCCAATGAAGAAACCGCTGCGGCTTTGTGGCTGAAGCTAGAAGCCTTATACATGACCAAGAGCCTCGCAAACAAGCTTCGTCTCAAAGAAAGGTTATATACTTTTCGTATGGTTGAAGGTACTCCTATTCAAACTCATCTTGATGATTTTAACTCTATCATTATGGATCTGCAAAATATTGATATCAATATTGAAGATGAAGACAAAGCTGTTTTGTTGGTTGTCTCTTTACCTTCTACCTACAAACACTTCAAAGAAATCATGTTGTATGGAAATAATGATACCTTATCCTTTGAAGATGTTAAATCTAATTTATTGTCCAAAGAAAAGTTTGATCTTGAAGTTAATTCCGTGGACAAGGGTGAGGGCTTAAGTGTTCGTGGTAGAACTCAAGAAAAGGGGAGTACCAGTTATAAAAAGTTCAGATCCAAATCCAGAGGCCGCAAATCCAACAAAACCTGTCGCTATTGCAAGAAACCAGGACATGACATTCCTGATTGTTTCATCTTGAAGAAAAAGCAAGAAAAACAAGAGAGAGGAAAAACTCAACAATCCCCTGAAGCTGCTAATATTGAAGCCGACTCTGACGGTGATGTTCTTTTATCTGTTGTCTCTTCTAATAAGAGGAGTAAAATAGAATGGATTCTTGATTCTGGATGTACTTTTCATATGTGTCCTTATAAGGACTTATTCACCACTTTTGAATGTGTTGACAGTGGTGTTGTTTTAATGGGAAATGATACTCAATGCAAGGTTGCAGGAATAGGTACAGTTCAGATCAAGACTCATGATGGTGTTGTCAGAACTTTGGCTGATGTCCGCTATATTCCAGATTTGAAGCGGAACTTAATTTCTCTTGGCACCCTAGAGTCTCTAGGGTGCAGATATTCAGCTGAAGGTGGAGTTCTAAAAGTATCGAAAGGTGCTCTTGTATTATTAAAGGCTAACCGAGTTGGTAGCTTATATGTCTTGCAAGGCTCTGTTGTGACAGGTTCAGCAGCTGTATCTTCTTCAATGCTTGATAATGATGTCACCAAATTATGGCACATGCGTCTGGGCCATATGAGTGAAAAAGGCATGCACCTTTTGAGCAAGCAAGGTCATCTTGGTAAACATGGCATCGGTAAGTTGGAGTTTTGCAAACATTGTGTTTTTGGGAAACAGAAAAAGGTTAGTTTCTCTACTGCAACTCACCGTACCAAAGGTATTCTTGATTATATTCATTCTGACCTTTGGGGGCCTTCTAAAGTTCCTTCCCATGGAGGATGCCGCTATATGATGACTATCATTGATGATTTTTCTCGTAAAGTTTGGGTTTATTTTCTGCGGCATAAAAATGAAACTTTCTCCACTTTCAAAAAGTGGAAAACTCTTGTTGAAACCCAAACAGGGAAAAAGGTGAAAAAGCTCAGAACAGACAATGAGTTAGAGTTCTGTAATGGTGAATTTAATGAGTTCTGCACAAATCATGGTATTGCCAGACACAAAACCATTCCAAGGAATCCCCAGCAAAATGGTGTTGCAGAACGGATGAACAGAACTCTACTTGAGAGAGCTCGTTGTATGCTCTCAAATGCTGGGTTATGGCATCGGCGTGAACTTTGGGCTGAGGCAGCATCTACTGCTTGTTACTTGGTCAACCGTTCTCCACATTCGGCACTTGACTTCAAAGTTCCAGAAGAAATTTGGTCAGGTAATCCCGTTGATTATTCTAATTTAAGAATATTTGGATGTCCTGCTTATGCACATGTTAATGATGGTAAATTAGCTCCAAGAGCTGTTGAGTGCATATTTCTTGGTTATGCATCTGAGTCTAAGGGATATCGCTTATGGTGTTCCGATTCAAAGTCACGGAAATTAATTCTTAGTAGAGATGTGACTTTTAACGAGGATGCATTATTATCTTCCGGAAAACAATCTGTTGTGTCTTCTTCTACTATTACAGGTAATCTACAGGGTACTAGCGAGAAGGTGGAGTTGATAGTAAAGCCTGCAGCTCCTAACGTTGACGTTCCATCTTCCTCTACAAATGAATCAACCATTGATGATCATTATGTTGATTGTGATGATAGTACCACTTCTCCTATTCATCAACAAGGAGATGATTATTGTCTTGCCCGAGACAGAGCTAGAAGACAAATTAAAAGGCCAGCGAGGTACACTGATGGTGATAATTTAATTGCTTATGCATTGTCTGTAGCACAAGAGGTAAATGATGATGCTGAACCTGCCAGCTATAGAGAAGCTGTTTCTTGTGTTGATTCTTCACAGTGGCTGGTGGCTATGAATGAAGAAATGGAAAGTCTTCATAAGAATGGTACTTGGGTTTTGACAGAGCTTCCCAAAGGCAAACGATCATTGAGATGTAAATGGGTCTATAAGAAGAAAGATGGCATTCCCGGGGTTGAAGATCCAAGATGCAAAGCAAGACTAGTTGTTAAAGGCTTCAATCAAAAGGAAGGTATTGACTTTAATGAGATATTCTCACCTGTTGTTCGTCATACTTCCATTCGTGTTTTGCTTGCTTTTGTTGCTTTATTTGATTTGGAATTGGAGCAACTTGATGTAAAGACAGCTTTTCTACATGGAGAGTTAGAAGAAGAAATATACATGGAACAACCCGAGGGGTTTATTGTTCCAGATAAGGAACATCTTGTCTGCCGATTGAAGAAATCTTTATATGGCCTTAAACAAGCTCCAAGGCAGTGGTATAAGAGGTTTGATTCTTTTATGATTGGGCAAGGATATTACAGGAGTCAATTTGATGACTGTATTTATTTCCAAAAATTTCCAGATGGATCTTTCATATACTTGTTACTTTATGTTGATGATATGTTAATTGCTTCACGTAACAAGTCTTTGATCAGGAAATTGAAAACTCAACTTAATAATGAGTTTGAGATGAAAGAATTAGGTGCAGCCAAGAAAATTCTTGGTATGGAGATTCACAGGGACCGTCAAGCTGGTAAACTATTCTTATCTCAACAGAAGTATATTGAGAGAGTGCTTGAAAGGTTTAATATGAATGTTTGCAAACCTGTTTCTACTCCACTTGCTGCACATTTCAAGTTATCCTCAGATCTTTGCCCACATACAGAGGAGGAGGTGGAGCGTATGTCACATGTTCCTTACGCCAGTGCAGTTGGTAGTCTTATGTACGCTATGGTGTGCACTAGACCAGATTTAGCATATGCTGCCAGCATGGTGAGTCGATATATGCATAATCCTGGCAAGGATCACTGGAGTGCTGTAAAGTGGATTTTTCGGTATCTAAAAGGTACTTCTGACATTGGTTTGGTATTTGACAGAAGCAAGGCTACATCCAATGATGTTGTAGGTTATGTTGATTCGGATTATGCTGGTGACAATGACAGAAGGAGATCTCTTTCTGGTTACATCTTTACTATCTGTAATAGTGCTATCAGCTGGAAAGCTACTCTTCAGTCCATTGCTGCATTATCTACGACTGAAGCTGAATATATTTCAGCTACAGAGGGTGTGAAGGAGGCTATTTGGCTCCGAGGTTTGGTAAATGAACTTGGTTTAGCACAAGGTGTTCTTAGAGTATTTTGTGATAGTCAAAGTGCTATTCATCTGACCAAGAATAATCGTTATCATGACAAGACTAAACATATTGATGTAAAACGTCACTTCATCCGAGATATTGTTACTGTTGGTGAAATAATGGTGAAGAAGATTCACACTTCAGAGAATCCAGCAGATATGCTTACCAAGCCACTTCCAAATACCAAGTTCCAACACTGTCTGGACTTGGTTGGTCTCTACAGCATTTGAGCGCCCCTTCGGGGCTTTATTTGGCGATGAGCAATTTACCGAATTCGAGCCAAGGTGGAGATTGTTAGATATGGCTCTCTTATAATGCATTACTTCACAAGCTTTCTTAACTAGTTTTTTTAGCTTGCCCTCCAAGCTAGCTTGGTCTCCAAGTCATTCAAGCTTGGTCTCCAAGACATTCAAGCTTGGCCTGCAAGCTTCCATTTCTCTATTGATTCTTTTGCCTATAAAAGGGGCATGAAGCACTTGCATTACAGCATCACAAATTATTTCATCATCACAACGTTAATCTTTGTATCCCAGCAACATAAAATAGAGTAACGTTTGTTTTATTGAGTGAGTGTTTTGTGGTGAGAATTCTTGTTCCATTTGAGAGAGTATTTGTGAGAGAAAATATTACTCTTTGTCTTCATCATTGTAAGAAGATTTGTTGTACTCTCCTTTTTTACATAGTGGAATTTTGCTCGTGAGCGCCCGTGGTTTTTTTACCTCTCACACTGAGGGGGTTTTTTCCACGTTAAATATTGTGTGTTATTTTCTTGCTTATTTTATTCCTTCTCTTTTGTTCTCAATTGATCCGATCTTGTGCTTCCGCATTGCGCTCTATCTCTAACAGTAACTAATGCGTTATAATAACACTTTGAAAGATGAATTAATTTGTTTTGATTTTGTTGAATTTCAGTTACCTGATCCATTGATTAGAAGAAAAGTGAGTTGATATTTTAGTCCCACACCGCTGGCCATAAAAGTTCAGAGATATCAGGGTACTATAAAAACTAAGTGATGCATTCATTTATAAGCATCTTTGCGCTTGGGGCAATGACGCAGCTAATGAGGTTCTAACTGAGGCGCGTCTATTGCTGGTTGAAAACTATTTCCAAACCCCCTCTTAGGCCTGGTTTCAGCCCTGGCCTTCGAGAATTTCTGGAAGGGCTCCCTTCGGGGTAAAGCCCTACAAATTAGTTTCAAATTTTTATTCTCTGACGGAAAGAATTCTTTATTTAATTAAATGTCAAATTTGGCTATAAATAATGTTATTTTTGCTCTTTTTATTTTTTGGGTGTAAATATCGTTCTGTTATGTTAACTTTTTGTGTAAATATTTTCTCAGTAAATGAGTTGTAATATTCGGAGTTTTGTATGTTTTATGCTGTTAAATAAATTTTACTTGCATTTGCGAACTAAGGGTTTCGTTCCTTATTAGCTGTTGTTATATTGTGTAAAATGTAAGGATTCATAAGAAATGTGTAGATATGACATATATTCTAAATATTTAGATGAAGAAATAACTATACTTAGTTATTTTTTGGTTGAGCTTGATTAATGTTTTATAGCGTGATTAGTTACTTTTTTGGTTGACTGTGATTAATGTTTTCTTGATCAAAAAATAGTGTTAATCATATATTTATACATCATTAACATATAAATTTAGTATATAAATGATTCGCATATAAAAAACCTGTTAACATGGGTGCAGTCGTGCAGATGAAAATTCAGGGTTTCTATCAATCAATGTGCAGTGAAAAGTGAAAACCGTGTGCTCCAATCCAGGAGTGGTTTTTGGTGAATAACTACTGTACATAAATTCTGTACTAATCAGCAATAAATAATTACATTTTTAATGTCACATGAATGTGTCGGCTATACTAAGTAATTCACCAAATCTAGTCTCAGCAAACGTTAAACTACAGCAAAAGTTATTGGATACACTGCATTCACGTTCATTGATTCCCTAGATGCCAATAACAAATGTTGTAGCAGAGAAAAACCACCTGATTTATATTGATCCTGTTGCAATTTTCATTTGTTTAAAAGATGATACCTGGGATGAGGGTCTCTTGGTTATGAAACTGTCCAAGAATTAGTTTTAACAAATAACTATTGCTGTTCTATGTCAATGTAAATTAATGAAGATAGGTCCAAAAGTTAAATTAGAAGAGAAGGGCCTATGCTTTTGAACTAACAAACTTTGGTATATGATATTTTGAAAGGTTTGTGGGCTAGTTAATGTTAGAACTTCTTAACTTTGAAATATCTCAAAATTTACACAATGTTTTCCCTTCTCTTCTAATTTAACTTTTGGACCTATCTTCATTAATTTACTCATTAACCAAACCAATTTGTCTTTCTAATTCAACGTGCACATGTGAGTTAATCAAGTTTAACTTTTGGACATGTCTTTATTAATTTACTCACTGACTAAACCACTTTGTTGTACTAATTGAACATGCACACATGTAATTATTTATGTCAGCAAGTTCAGATTATGCTCAAAATAGGACAAAGTGTAGGTATAATCAAATGCCTGAAATATAAGAAATCTGATGATGTTTCTGCTAATTTGAAGACAAAGTAAGTGTGAGTGCCAACTGAAATGCATGAAATTATAATAAAACTTAGTCAGATAGAAAAATTCCATAAAGGTAATGACAGTAGGCTTGACTTATTCAACTGAAATGCAATCAAATTAAAATATTAAGACAAGAAAAGCTAGTTTTGCAATATATGATCATACAATAGATTCATTTTCATATAGATAATAGATTTGATATATGAAAAAGAAAGAAACACAACTTGGTCCTAATTTATTTTCTAAAAAGAGGTACAATATATAAATATTGATCAATAAGTCCAATCAACCCTAATATTTCTTCAACAAAACGGTTTATTTCTGTCAATTGGTCTATACTGGCTGTGAATCTCTGTTTGGATACTGAATGTTGTCTATAGGAAATTGTTCTGAAACATCTGATAGTGCTGCAGCAGCTGCAGCAGCTAGGGTCATGGATTGGTATTGGGGGGGCTGTTGAGTATAGTATACTTGGTCTTGCATGGTTCCATCATATTGATCATAACCATAATTAGTAGTGGCAGAAGGACCCATTGCAATAGGGTGTGTTTGATGATGGATATTTTGAGGCAAAGTCACATACTGTTGCTGAAATTGGTTAGAAGGTATATGAACAAATGCAGGATTTGATGCCATAGTGGCTTTGTAAACATTTGGACCCACTTCAGATATAGTTGGGGTAGCTAAGTTAGTAGGATAAATTGGTGGAGCACCATCCTTATATACTGCTGAGGCTGCAGAACCTTGGGGTATTACATGTTGTTTAGGTCCTACAGGCATTACATAAAGTGGATATTGTTGCTGGCTAATTGCATGGTGAAGTTGTTGTTGTGATGGTGGGGGATAAAGTGGGTAATATGATGATATTGTTGGCACTTGTCCTGTTGCTGCAGGGTGGTGAATGTAGACAAATTGTTGATGTTGCTGTTGTTGTTGTTGTTGATGTTGGAGTTGCTGAGATTGATCCAATTGTTGTTGAGGTAAAGTGTAACATGAATCTTGAACCTGAACTTGTTCCCTTTGTAGTGTAGGGGTGTGTTCAGATATTTCAGTCTTGATATTTGGCATAGGAAGAGCTTTGTTGTCCACTTGTGGAGGTTGGACTTGTTCTTGATGATAGTAAACAGTCTTTGACAAAGAATTTTCTGATGCAATGCTGCTCTCACTGAGACAATATTAACAAAAAATAATATCTTCAAAACACATTCTTATCATGGTAAAATCAACCTACAACATAGTATTTTAATATCTTTCTTTACATTGTGTTTGATTTATAAAAGAAAAGTTGAGAAAAGAAAAGGAGTAGAAAATGTGATGATTTTGTATTTGTTTGATATGATAAAATAAAACTAACACTAACAAGTATGTATCAACTTGTTTTTTTGGAATTTCAGGAAATTAGTGATGTTTTGAGAGTAAGTGACAGAAAAATCTGTTGCTAATCTTCTTCCCCTGTAGGTAAAAAGGCATGGGTCTCACTATACATCAAATAATATATAGGCATTACTATCCCCTTAATCAAATAATGAATCTTCATATTTTTTCCGTAGTAATCAAACACTATAATATACATATTATTAGATAAAACTGAATAGTGTAAAAAAATATTTGTGAAAATTGAAAGTAAAATTAGAAAAAATGAGCACAAAAGGAAGAATACCTTGCAACTGAATCTGGAGAAGCCAAACCAAAACCAGCACAAGCTGCATTGAAAGTTCTAGGCTGCACAAGCTGCAATGGTAAAGGGGGCTTTCTATATACACCAACAAGTCCTTCATTATGATCTGATCTATCATCATCACACACATTAACCAGATTCATATTATTATTATTATTATTATTATTAATAACTATATTCTTCACAGCTTCAGGAATTGCATTCATAGGAGTAGCAGCAGAAGATATAGCATAACCATGATCCAGCAAATTATGCCTCACCCCTTTTGTACCAAAACTCATTTGTGCAAACTGTTCCTGAATCCTGTCACAACCATGAACTGTTATTGGAGGCAAATTAGCCATTGAAGATGAATTATTCTCCACTGAATGCAACTCTTCCTTAACCTCCTTTGTACTATCCACCACAGTGATGGGAGTAGCCTCAACAATTACCCGAGTCTTCAAATCATTGGTTTCACGAACCTCATCAATGTTAACCAGGCATTGATCCACTGCAGCAGAATCAGAAACACCACGTTGAAGAATCCCACAGTTATTAAGAGCATCAACAAACAACGTATCTGATTTCACATCCTCCATAAGTGAACACATCGAAACCGTAGTGTCAGGTTTGTTGAAGAACAAGAAAACCCTAAGACGCGAAGAAGCCAAACGATCGTGCTCTTCAACCATGTTACCAAGATCCTCATCAGTTGTGACAGTTATTAGGTTATCAAGTTCTTCGTTTGGTAGTTGGTACTTGAGAGTGAAAGCTCTTCCGTGGAGAAGAGAATGTGATAAACGTAAACATAGGTCTTTGAGAGAAGTGTGACGGTCGACGGCGACGATGCGGGTTTCGCCGCCGACGTAGGAGAGGGACTTGTCGTGAGGACGTGGCATGATATGGCCGGCGTAGCTGCACATGAGGCGGAGCTTGGCGTTAGGGACATTGGGGAGAGGGTCGTGATTATCTGGCCATGTTTGGTTATTAACAATGTGATAGTTAGGAGAGGATTCTGTTGAGTCAGAGTGGTTTTGCACGGTGGAGAGAGAAAGTGGTATCAGTGGTGTATCCATTGCTTATGTTATGGAGAATGAATGCAAACATCTTTTTATAGCTTCTTCCGATCATTTATTATTTAAATTTAACTAGACTCTCGAATAGATTGTTTAATTATTAAGCACATGCATGTGCTCAATTTTGGTACTTGTTCTTACGTCGCAATGTTACAGCTTGAACACTCACGTGCTCAACACAAAACAATCACTTCAATTAATTTATTTTAATCTTAGTTATGCAACAACGTGTAACCATTTTCAATAATAAGAAATGGGTTTTTAGGCATCTACTAATATTTATAAATAAATACATAATTGTGAGACTAACAGATAAGCTCTTCCTAAAGTTTGAAGACTGATATTGTACACTTTGAAGTTTTAAGAGTCCTATGTTTAGGAGTTTGCAATTAGTTTCATCATCCCAAAATTTTGTTGTTATATTACCTAATTTGGATCAAGCCCATTACATGTGTAAAATTCATGGGCATCTGTGAAAATATCACATTATTCCTCAAGAGCCAAAAGGCAGATTCAAGAAGAATGTACTAGCTGTCACTAGCTTTGTAGAAGAAGGACCACATGCAAATTGGAAATATGTAGAGATAATGTTTATCTAAGGTTAGTTTCTAAAGTTACTAAATAAGGATGCATGTCATTATTTTGATGTATTATAGAAATTTTAATCGGTTGAATGATTAAGAATAAATACACTATTGCATACTTAAAACTTTATGATTAATAACTTCAAGGATAATTATACTTTCAGAAGAGGTTTTTCCATTTTGTGAATAAACACTGAAAATGATTGATAAATAGAAGCAAAAAAGAATTATGAATTATTGACACCTATATACATCTACTTTTAGGTCAAAAGCGGTTTAACGCGTGAAAATGGCTTTTTACATGTCTGACCAACAATCAAATTGACTAGACCATCTGATCTAGTCTGATACTTATATTGTTGGTATTAGGTCAAGACTTAAAACAAACCAAACATACCCTTAATATTGTATGAAAAAACATATAATATTATTTTAGTTAGAGATCTAGCTACTATAAAGCTCATGATAGTTTCTACATTGGGATTCTTATTTTCAAAAA